CTAGAACCCTTAGCCTTGGACGAATTCTAAGGCCTTATCCCCTTGAATTCGTCCACCCTATCCCTTAGGGCATCATTTGCCCTACTTTCCAAGTATCACATAATTGCAGTTCAGTCCCCCTAGTTCAGTTAATTCCTCTTGATCACAAAATTAATTCTTAATTAATTCTTGAACAATATTAACTAAACAAATATGACTTCTCTTTTAATATATTATTCTTATAATATATTAATAAACCATAATAACCTCTTTCTCTATTATTTCTCCAGTCAAGTTGCTTTGGTGAAGGCAACCCAAAAGGACCATGCACAACCGGGTCAAGTACTTACCAAATATGGTTACAGGCTTAGACACTAATCCATCAGTAATTAGGTAGACTCATCAATGTATAATGTTGTAATAGGTAATTTTGTGAATTTATATTGAAACTAGGGAAAAGCTTACTTTACAGGCATGATTGGTTGTTGTATTCCCACTATTCAACAGCTTTTTTTTAAATAGAAGTGACTCCAGCCTACAACATAGTCGAATGAGGGACATATTCTTTTATAACCTGTAACAAGAAAAATAAAATTGAAACCACTATCTACCAGTAAGAGCACCTTCATATTCTTAAAAGTTCTATTGAATTTTCACCAATCTTGCAATGTTATTAGTTTCTGTGTACAAAATAGGACAATTAATATCGAACATTGTTAACCATTCCAAACTCCAATGTTACATCATTTGTTGCACTCTCAATTTAAAGCTCGTGTTGTTCAATCCTTTTCAAGCTTTTATGTATTTTTGAGACTTCGGGTGTATCATGAAACAAGAAAATCAAATTATCCAGTTAGCAGTAAATAGTAAATACAGTTGTTAGATATACATATATTGTTTTAATGAAGTAAAAATTACATATTGTTGATAGATGGAAATTGAATTGATGATGTAAGCAAAAGAAGATCAAATCAGTATGAGTCAGAGCAGCAACTCGACCTCATACATGCACTTCTTTTGGTTCTTAATCATGCTATGCTTGTTAGGTATGATTTTTTTAATAATATAAAGTTTTTTAACGTTATTTTAACCAGTCAAACCCTAAATTGATGTATACAAATACAACAGGTACCAAGATGATTGGCTAAAGACATCAACAAGCTCTCTTTAGCATTAGGAAAAAGCTCATTTTGAACCTTATGCTATGCAGAAACATGTAAGAAGTTCAATTTACCATTGTTTTTTATTAAAATATTTAAATTTTTAACTAATTACTTATCAGTTTGAAAGTAATGCATTAATGGACTACAAACCAGTACATGTGTATATATAAAGCAGCCTAAATCATTCAAAAGGAAGGCAAATTAATTAGTTGAAAAAGTAATGATACATATGGAACATTAACGACCATAAAATACAACCCTTTAACTGGTTGATTAGAAAGAGTCATCTTTTCAAGTGATCCAATCATATTTGATACAGTCATGCTTGAATTCTTCAGCGTGTTGTGAATGTATTCAGTTGTTGCCTTTACACGAATTACACACACAACTAAAGTTAAGACAGTCAGAGAGAAAGATACAGAGTACACTATATTAAAGCTAATTAATGATGTAGCTAGACATACCTCTGTACCTTTATATATATATA